GGGGCACCCGGGGAGCCAGGCTGCCGCGAGGCGTGGATGAAAAAGGTGATCGCAGGCTGGGCGCTCGGGGGTCGGCCTTCCCGGCAGGCTGTCTGGGCGAGTCCCAGGCTAACCGGAGGCCTCGGGCTGCACACAGGCGGCTTCGTTGGGGCCTTAGCCGGCCTGGACGAAGGGACCTTGTTAAAACGCGCTGCGCGCAGCCTGAATCCTCCCCACAGGAGGTTTTGCTTTCCTGTCCCGAAACATGACGCAGGGCGTGGACTTGAGGTGGCCGCGGCTCTGGGAACGGTCAGGAAGTAGTGCAGGTTTTCGCTTAGTGGGCTCCATCCCGGCTTTCTCCTTTGCTCCAAGGGAAAAGTGCGGGCGGTGCCAGTATCTTTCCAGTTCGGAAGATCTAGCTCTGCGCTCCTTTCAGGCCTTCCAGCCTCGGCCTGATGAACCGGCTGGTTTATTCTGTGTTTCACTCGGGTTCGGGGGTGGCTTGTGGGTAGCTTTGGCGGACAGCGCTCTGGTAAGTGGGATTGCCCACTTCTGAGCCCAGAGAACGGCCTTACCGCACAGTTTCGGGCTCGGGCTCGTCTAGTGGAGCGGGCTGCCGGAGGAGTGCAGAGTGCTGCCCTGCACAAGTCCTCCAGGCTGGGTTCTGTTCTTCAGCAGGCGTCTCTGGACGGGTCTCAGACCCCACCCTCGAGGACCGCTGTCAGCCAGCGAAAGGCTGCAGGCCATCTAGCGCGGGACCCCTCAGAGCGGTGCTAGTATTACGGCTTTCCTGGTCCTTTAGCCAGCCTCGGGACCACCTGTCCCAGCCTCTCACCCTAGTGCTGGTGCGCCCTGGCTGCCTTTCCAGCGGGAAGCGCCCCCCACAGCTGAGCTAGCGGAGCCTGTGTGGAGCCTAGGCCTGTGCCAGCTGGCAGGGCCTGCTTCTCCTCTAGTGGCTCTTGCTTCCTCCACTGCAAGCATGTGGTGTAGACGTTTCACATGACACTGGGTAACAAAGCCTCACGCAAGAATTTTAAAAATTATTACCGAGAGTTTAAATACAATGCTCTTGGTCCGGTTCTTGCACCTGGGCCAGGACATAACTGTGCTGTCGTTTTCCCTGGGGGCTCCAACGTGGCCCATGCAACAGGCTCCTTTGTTGCAAAAGCACTTTTAATTGGTAAAGTGGCAGCAGCAGTCTCCCACCTGGGAAGGGGATCCCAGGGACCCGGAGCTGTTTGAAAGCAAGCCGGCCACCCTGCGGCAT